TGTGCCATCTACACTTACTGAATGCATTTTGAGCCCCATAAATCTTCAATGTTGATTGGTTTCTTTTGGACAGCGATACTGCCAAAGCATAGTTTGGTAATGCCAAAGCAGTGTCTTCTATATATTGTTTTGTTAAGACAAGCTCTTCCATCCTTGTCCACATAAGTGTCTCACTATCCATCAGCAACACCTAGGGATGGCAGTGGACTGAAGTGGGGTCGGGCGGTGTAGTCTCCATCCCCATACCCGTTTAAAAAAATTTCGTCCATCCCCGGTTCATCCTCGTTAACGGGTATAGTTTTCATCCTCAATCCCGTCCACGAGTAAATTTGTAATCCCCGTCCCCCGTCCACCTTACCCGCCCAAGCCCAAACCTAAGCCAATAGAATCCAAAATTCTAAATAAATCTAACATTCTAAATAATGCAACATAATTATAGAATATGATAACATAATTAAAAGTTTGTCATTTACAACATAATATAATTAAAACATTGACTACAACATAATCCAACATAATATAATTAAAAGTTTGTCTCCCTTGTAAATCTAACTCAATGTCATGCAACACAACATAATGTAACATAACATAATCCAACATGAAAAAATATAAAAACATAAAGATCTACATTTTTACAAGCCAAAACCATGAAAAAAAATAATTTTTAAAAGAAAAAATTATTCAATAATATGTAGATTTGTATTCACATCAACATGTATATATACATACCCCCTTACATTTCTGTCTACATTCCCACACGGTTTCATAGGGGTATTCCCGTATACGTCCACCATCGAATACGTATAGTTCATCCCCGGTCCAAACGAGATGATTTTGGATGAATACCCATTTTATCGGTTCCCGTGCCATCCTTAGCAGCAGCTTCCAATTATAGTGACTCCCCCAATGTTGTTCCCAACCTTGTATAATCGGCCATTATTTATATTCCGACAACAACATATTCTCATTCTCTCTCTATTTTAATCTCCAATAATTGACACAACCATTGAAGCCATCATCTCCACCACAGTTAGTTCAACAATTAAATGTTACCAATCACTAGGACTAAGATCGATTCAATTCTTATAGCCTGATGGTTCATCTGAAAATGTTGGTTTTATCAATAAATTCAAATTGTCATTGATAGATTAGAACCAAATGAAACAACCAAAATTTTTGGGCAAACTCTAATTTGCCCCCTTGTGGTTTGGGTCTTTAGCACTTGACCTCCCTATTGTTTGGAAATCAACAGATGACCCATTTTTGAATAAAAGTTCTATAGTTACTAATTCCATCTAAATTGACGGAAATTGAAACACTTGCCAAATTCAAGAGAGCGGATGAAAGAAATTTAAGTCAAAGTCAAAGTTAATTTTAGAAGTTCAAATATACCCTTGTGATTTTTTTTCCAAGACAAAATTACCATTGTTCATCTTCTTTCACTACTGTTGGAACAAAGAAGTGGAAAATATGCAAACAAAAAGCCCAGCACACCTTGACGCCTTTGCCCACCTCTCTCTCTCCTTTTTTTCTTATCCAAAACAAATAGTATGTATCATTTCATTAAGTAGGAAAATTCGAATTACAATTAGTAATCAATAGTAATAAAAGCCTTAAGCTCGGGGGTGGAGACCTAAACCATCATCACGGGAGTGAGTTGTGCATCATAGCGGCTGCCACCCAATGAGCAGCCTTTAACTTGGCTCTAGACTTGTGTAAGAAACTAATCCTGTGTGATCTAGCTATGCTTCTAATGTCTTCCACAACAATGATAATTTCCCATGGTGGAACATTCTCTGTGGCACTCAGTTTGAAGGCATTTAGGCAGTCACTTACAATTGTAGCGTTCATCAGTGAGTTGGCTTCGACCATGAGGCAGGCATGTCGGATCGCCTCTGCTTCAACATACAATCTTGATGTGACAAAGAAAGATTTTGCAACACTATCCATCAGACCTCCATTTGAATTTAAGAAGAGAGCAGCACAAGATGCTTCATTGGTTTTAGTTTTAAACGCTCCATCACAACAAATAATGAACTCAAATTTGACTGTGGCATTGTTTCCTCGCTTTCCAGTGGCTTAGACAGGCTCCTTTTCCTGCGCATATCCTCCATGTTAAATAGCTCATTCCACAAGCCGTTGATTCTCAACACAGTAGCAAAAGCATTAGGGGTCTCATCGTTGAAAATTTTTTGATTCCTTGCTTTCCATATGATCCATCCCACTATCGCCATCAATCCCAGCACCTCATGTCTCGTCGGAGGATCACTAACTGTTTCCAGAATCTAGGAGGTTCGTTGGACAATAGACATGAGACCAGCTTGCTCCACAATAAAAGCCATCTCCATCCCAAACCACACCCTTTTGGTTCATTCACATTTAAACATTAAGTGTTCAACTAATTTTGGGGCGCTTTGGGAAACGAAAAAAGGGGAGACTCAAACAACATAGGACAATGAGGATATCCCTCTAAGAAAACCCTAGCTAGGGTGGTGAGCTCTCATTTCGAGAGAGACAAAGTTATTTGAGCTCATTGTTCTCTCTCTCCGTTGACACACATGCCCCATGCCTATTCTCTTCCTCCTCTCATGGCTAAAATTAGTCCACACTGGCAAAACTAACTTTTCTAGTGCATCACTCCGGGATAAAAAAAAGTATAGCAGCAACCTCATCCTCCGGCAACCCACACCCTTTGCCCAACCCCCACGTTTATTTTCCTCCTCCTTTCATGGCCAAAATCAGTCCACTCCGGCAAAGCCTATTTTTTAGCATATCACTTCGGCAAAACCAATGCAACAGCGATCAGAAATTAGAAATTGAAATCGAAATTGATTTTGATTTTTTGTTTACATTTTGGCTCTGATTTTGATTTTCAATTTTTGCATTTGGTTGAATCTTCAATAGCGTTGTTGAATTTTTGTCCGAAATATGATTTGGTGCTGGGCAGTGGAGCTCTTCAAGCACAAATGAAGAACAACATCTAGAAAAAGAAAAATGAGGAAGAAAGGGGCATGGGCATTAATTCTAGTTCATAGTTGTCGCTAACAGTGTTAATGGTGAAGATTGATCCAAAACCACAAGGGGGTCATTTGTTGATTTCCAAACAATAAGGAAGTCATGTGCAAAAGGTCTAAACCACAAGGGATAAACTAGAATTTGCCCGAAATTTTTACTAACATGATTGGTAAAATGTATTGGTTATAATGTAGCATCTCACCCCAATAGAATATACCGTGCTATTCCAATAATAGAATTAAAAACATCACTTCCCCCCCCCCTCTCTCTCTCTCTCTCCTATCTCTAATTCATTTTGTGAATCATTATTGTTGTGCCAAATGGAGGAACAGAGGTGATGTGGTCTTAGAGTTTGGTGGAGGTGGAGGTTGAGGTTTGACGAGTGATTTATTATTGGCAAGAGTAAATGGTGTCTATGCTAATGGCGGTGGCAGGATAGTCTTTGATGGTTGCTATGATAGGGGTATATTTGAATTAACGAGGTGGCTCATATGGAAAACCATGGAGGTTGTGAATTGGGATACACTAAGAAAGAGTAATGCTAAATGGACTTCAAAGTTAAGCTTAAAAATTAAACTTGATAATCTCAACTATTGAATAGATAGTGTGTCATAATAAATGTTGGGATCTACAGGAAAATCAATTATTGTAATTATCAAGTTTAAGTTTTAAGTCTACTTTTTAAGTTCATATAGATATGGAGGTTTATTTTTTTGGAAATGAAAAATATCTGACCGAAACCAATAATGACATAGGGTCAGAACAATGAGAGAGAGAAAGGGTGGGAAGGAGGGTGGGGGGGATGAGATTTGGATGGTGGTGCAATCGGAAATAGGGACATCGGTGACTAGTAATGATGCACTTACATGGAAAAAGGAGACAAGAGAAGGGACTTGAAGTATGAAGTAGGAAAGAGAGCAAGGAATTCCTTTGGACGATTCATTTTGATCTAGAAAACACGGTTACGGATACTGGATATGAATATAATTAAACCCAAAAAAATAAAATACAAATTTGGTTAGAGTACATCTACAGTAAAATATATTTAATATCTTATGACTTGATAATTATAATTATACTTTTCAATAAATTGTTTAATTAGGAAGTTATTTTTTTTCAAAGAAACATCGATCGTCTCAATATGATATATTGACGAAGTAAATATGGCTAATTAAAGGAACTAGTATTAATATTTAACTAATTGATTTTCTTGGTAATATGCTGTCAAAATATAGGGTGTAGTTAACTTATGTTTATGTTTTTTTTCACATATGGTGGTAGATAATGTTTATGAAATTTCCATGTGTCTTCAAAACAATATAATTTTTTTCTTCGTGTGTGTTATTCTATGTGAATTCGAGGGAAAATTGTTAAAACTAAAAATAATTCATATTGCTCCACTTGTACACTTCCATATATAAAGAACATTTTTCTTTGATACCCATATCCAATATGTATACAGATGTAAAGAAATATCTTGTAAATTATTAAATATGTATGGTGCATATGAGCGTATCCAACAAATATATGCGAGTATTCGACGAGTATTGAATTTGAATATAATATTTCACCTGATATAGATACCTCGACTACACAAAGAAGTATAGTTGCATATAGGTTTTGACAAAAGGATATATTCGTCTACTTAAAAAGCAATAGTTCAAACATTGACGAATCTTGCTTTGGCAGTATCGTCTCGATTTTTTTCTACAAAAACGTACTTTAAAATGATGTTAGAGATTCATACCTCTCTGAACATTAAAGGTTATTAGAGCCGTAAAACATGTTGTTGTTCCATTTACTTTCGAACTCCATGTTTGTCCATTTTAAGGACAGCATTGAATGACACTTAAGCTTTCTAAACCTCGAATGAGAATAACATGTATCTTAAGCTACCGCATAGTGGGTTTCTTTTCTGATATATGTAAATGGACTGATTTTTTCTTTTTTTTTACTCTGCAAATTTGAGTAACACTTTGAGGACCATGAAATATGGAATGCTAATCTTACTTCATCTTTATATGTCATTCACGCCAGCAGTTTATGAGAACATGGAATGTGTTGACAACGAGGTTAATCTTGTGGATCATTCTCAAGAAGTCTGATTTTATCTTTTTGAAATCATGGCAGCAAATACTTCAAGCTGTTAACACCATACATGAGGAACGTAAAGTGCACTCAGACCCAAAACCAGCTAATTTTCTTCTTGTCCAAGGTTCACTAAAGCTAATAGATTTTGGCATTGCCAAAGCAATTATGAGCGATTCGACTGACATTCAACGTGATTCGCAGGTTACTCCATGTTCACATTTCCTTTCTATTTTGAGAATTTGTGCAGTAGTAGAATATGACTTTTCTTCCGCTTGGTCCTCTCTGGCTTGTCAAGTGACGATTCACACGGTGCCACATCAAGATACAGATGCATTTCTGGTCGTATTGAGAAAAGCTCAAGTATCTCACAAACTTTTCTTCAGTTTGGCAAAATTAGTGCAAATTCTGAAAAAAAGCCTCAGGTGGCAGATTGTTATTCACTTGATGGAGCTGATCAATTATATAAAATTTTGGTTTTTAAACCCTTATTTTATGATAATGTACTTCTGCAGGTGGGTACACTGAGTTAAATGCATGTCACCAGAAGCATTCACGGTGCAATGAGACTGTTGCAAATGGAAACACCATAAAGTGTAGCCGTCCATTAGACATCTGGTCACCTGGTTTGCATCCTTTACCAAATGGTATATGGAAGAACGCCATTTTCAGAGTACAAGGTGATGATGCACCAATTGGATTTGTACATCACCTATCAATTGAACAATAAAAATGTAGTAATTGATAAGTGAGAGATAGAGACAAGAGCAAGACAAGATTTATAGTGGTTCGATCAACGTGACCTACGTCCACTTTGAATGACTAGGGTCGCCGGGTACTTTATTATCTTAAGGGTGTAGGGAGAGCAAAAAGTTACAAGCTTAGAGAGTGAGAGTAGAGTTGTGCTTAGTTGAATGTGATGCCCCTCAAGTTTTGCAGGGTTTATAATTTATAGTCGCCTCATAATGGATTGGGGCGACTTAATAGTAGCTAATCTGCAGTCATAATAGATTGAGGCGACTTAATAGTAATTAAATAGTTGATTTGGTGGAGATGGCCACCTCTTCTCAAGTAACGAGGCAATTACAATACTCTTCATAAGACTCAGTCAAAAGATGAGATGGGTATTGACTCATTCCAAGGCGGCGAGGATGAGACTCTTGGATGACCTTTACTCCAAGGTGACTAGGAAGAGACTCTTAGATGACTCTTACTCCGAGGTGACTAGGAGGAGACTCTTGAATGACCCTTACTTAGTGGTGGCTAGGAGGAGACTCTTGAATGACCCTTACTCACAAGTCGCTAGGAGGATACTCTTAGATGACCCTTACTCCAAGGTGGTTAGGAGGAGGCTCTTGGATGACCCTTACTCTAAGGTGGCTAGAAGGAGACTCTTGGATGACCATTGTATGCTCCTTTGCTGATGTAACTCCTCGAACCTGATGAGCTTGACTGGGCATGAACCACTTTGGGTGCTGGATCTCTTGGAATTAGGCTCTTAATTTAAATTGGGCTCATAGCATTAGTTGGGCCCTTTGGTCTAGCTCATCATTTGCCCCTCAATGCCCTATGTCCAATGGAACTTGGAGAGGAGCGCATTCAGTTGAATTTGAATTTCGGCTAAACACATAGCTGAAAAACTTCAAGAGGCCAAAACATCTGTATCTAAACTTTTTGGACTTTTAACAACATCAATCACAGCCAAAGGTTATAGGTCTTGTAGGGCTCATCGAGAGCTTCAATTTGATATATTATGGGCCCCATTTGGAATAATAGAGCAAAAGTTACGATCAAAATAGCAAGCAGGGAGCAGGACTCACGATTTGGGCGAGCAGGCAGCTTTTGAGCACCTGTGCTAGGTGCTTGAGAGGTGTTAGGCGCCTGGGTTGGGTGCTTGTGCTGGTCATCTGAGAAGTGCTGAGCGTAGCTCGAGTAGCGATTTTACTGATCACGATGGAGGAGTGCTATTTTGGGACCAGTGCAGACAGGCCTTGTTTGCGCTAGTTGTTAAGTGCGGGAGTGTTATGGCAACGAGCCGACGTATCGGATGGATGAGGCCCGTGGGTTACAGACTACCTAAGTTCCAAAAGCGTGCTTAAAAATGACAAAAATAATGTTATTCCAACATCAAAAAATATATAACATGATTACTTGGAGAGAGAGACAGACTGTTTTCATCAGAGCAAAGACAGAGTTTGAAGATTGCTTGTGTGAAAGCTGCACCTTTTGAGACCAAGCTTTTCGGCGACCCATGAGAGAGCCCTGAAGCTGGAGGTATAGGCTGTCTGCTTGAGAGCAGAGCAGAGGTCAAGCTTTTGGTGATCTGCAAGAGAACCGCTAAGCTAGATATATAGGCTGCTTGCTTAAGGTAGTGTAAAGGCTAAGCTTTTGGCGACCCATGAGGAAGTTGCTAAGCTGGATATATAGGTTGCCTGCTTGAGAGTAGTGCACAGGCAAAGCTTTGGTGACCCAGGAGAAAGCCGCTAAGCTGGATATATAGGTTGTCTGCTTAAGAGCAAAGTAGAGGCAGGTCAATCTTTTGGCTATCCACGAGATGAGTCACCTTGCCTGGACCTGTTGATTTCCTCAGCAGTCATATATTTTTGAGCTTTTGTCAATAGTTCTGTCATGCTCTTTGGTAGTCGCTTCATTACTTAAAAGAGAAAACTTGATGAGTGGAGGCCTCCCAGAAAGGCAGTCATGGTGACTTTGTCATTGGGCTCCTAGATTTGGAGGACCTCCTCATTAAAACGAGTGAGGTAACTCCTCAGACTTTTCTCGCGATCCTGTTTTACGCTGAGCAGATGGGTGACAAGCTTTTGGTGGCAACGTGCACCAATGAATTGTGTCACAAACAATATGCTCAGTTTGGCGAAGGGGCCTATGGAGGCTATGGTGAGTTTGACGAACTATTGTCGCGGTGATCCCTTCAAGGTAGTTGAAAATGCCTTACACATAATTTTGTCAGGGACGTTGTGCAATTGCATTAAGGTCTTGTAGGTTTCGAGGTGATCAAATGGGTCTGTTGTACCATCGTAAGTTTCTATAGAAGGCATTTTGAACTTTTGGCGAAGAGGGTAATTTGCCACATATGGCACAAAAGGCGTGTCAGTTCACCTTATAAAGTAGTCCACAGTTTCTGGTCTTTGTGCCTTCATGACATTGAAGACGCCGCCTAGTTGATTATGTATTTCTTTATTTTTTTTTGTTCTAGTGATTTGGGGCTCCTTTAGAATTATCATGAAAATGGCTTTCATGCTCTACACTTTGATTCTCGCACTCATCTTCTTGGAAATGGGGATCTCCGGAAGAGGGAGTTTGAGGTGGAGGTGGAGATCTGATGAGTGCGCAAAAGTGCATTTTAAATACCTTATTATTGGATTAAAATGCTAAAATGTGAATATCAATAATTAGATATAATTTATATTATTGAATTTAATATTTATTCACATTGAGATATATTTGAGCATGATTTTATAATATTTTAAATCTTAAATATAACATTATTGGTTGATGAAAAATAATTTATTATTGGACTTTATATTTAATATTTGTGAAACTTTATTATTGGGCTTTTATATTTATTTTTATTTTGATGGCAACCCATGAAATTAAAAGGCTGAATGCAGCTATAAATTGACCCATCACTCAGCAGATTTGGGCTTTAGCTTTCCCAAGTACATGTGGGTTTGAGTTGTAGGGGCTGAAATAAAGAAGCTGGAATAAAGAGGGGAGAAAAAGATTTTCTTTTTTTCAAAAGGCCAAGACTTTTAGGTTTTACCAAAGTCTTTTTCTTTTTGTGGGCTTTGGCGGCTATGCCTTTTAAGGGCTTTCTCTGGTGTGTGGCGGCTGGAGGAGAAAAGAAAAAGAAAAGAGGAGGCGTCTAGGCAAAAGAAGACGGACGCAGATCAGGAGTAGAAATAATTTCGATGGCTGCCGGTTTGTTTTATTTCTTTAGGAGATTTTTGTTGTCCATCATATTTGTGAGTAACTAAATTCTAAAGTAAGATTAAGGATGAACTTGCATAGTAGATGATATTTTATTTATTTTTAACTTATACAGTTGATTTTTAATTACTAAAACTTTTTTGTTTTATCATTCTCAATTTATTGTTGATATTTTCTTCTCTGAATAATCATAGAATTTATTCTATTTATGGATTCAGTTATGCTTTTTCTATTAAATGGATTAGCTCTTTGATTATGTTTGGATCAATTATTTATCTATATTGATTTAATTCTTTGCTGCAATATTGTTTCTTGTGTATATTGTCGTCGTTGGATTTTCTCAATAGTGATAATAATTTACGTATTTTAAAAGTGGTGAATGATTTTTCAAAGGGTTATATTGGGGTTTAATCTTGGTTTATAAATTTACATCTTCGGGTTGGGAATTTTGAGAATTAAATTCTCAATTAAGTTATTTAATGAATTAAGAATAATTAAAATATCATATTTGTGCAAGAAATTCCTGACGTTTTACTGTTTGTCAAATTTGAATACTTTTTTCGTTAGTTTTTGCTTCACTTTAATTTGCATTTAAAATTAATCTTTATTATCCAGTAATCATTTAATATTTTCTTTTAGTTTCTTTATTCATTCTATTATTCTTTTAATTTGTCTCTCTGTGGAATCGACACCCAAAAGCTGTACTACAATTATCGCGTTATTTTTTGGGTGTAACCAAATTTTGGCGCTATTGCCGGGGAAACAGTAAAAAAATTGGTAGATAATTTTTCTTTTCAACAGTCTGCAAAAGCGATAACTTTGTTCCTTCTTTTAGCTTGCTGCATTATTATTATTATTATTCTTTCTTTTTATAGTATCTTTATTCTTTTAGTATTCCATTGCCTTGCATGCATAGATATAGGGACACCTTGGGTAGATTTGACAGTAGACCTGTGGTAGAATTAGAATCACATTTTATAAATATTTTATTTGAAAATACATCAAGTCCCGAAAAAATGGGTGAACACGAAAATCAACCCATTAGAACTCTTAATGATTACCTCCACCCTATACGCACAGCCACACCATCATGCATCATGTTTCCAACTAATATTCGCCAACTAGATTTTAAAACAGGGATGATACAATTGCTCCCTAATTTTCATGGCTTGGAAAATAAAAATTCATATGTGCACATTAGGGAGTTTGAGGAAGTAGTTGCGAATTTTCATAATCAAATTGCACTTGATGATGTTGTGAAACTTAAGTTCTTTCCTTTCTCTTTGAAGGATAGAGCTAAGAGTTGGCTATAGTCGTTGAGACTATGATCTATTGGGTCATGGGGTGAGATGACTTAAGTTTTCTTTAATAAATATTTCCCTCAACATAAGACCAACGCTTTAAAAAGACAAATCTCCACCTTTGCACAAAAAGACAATGAGACCTTATATCAGTCTTGGGAGAGATTTAAGGAGTTGTTGAGTGTGTGTCCTCACCATGGGTATGAGAATTGGCGCTTAGTGAGCTATTTTTATGAGGGACTTACACCTAGAGAGCGCCAATTTATAGAGATGATGTGTAATGGTGAGTTCTTACAAAAAGATCCTAATGAAGCCATAGAATACCTCAATGAGCTTGCTAAAAAAGCTCACACTTGGACTGGACCTAGTGCTACTGAAAGGACAAATAGGTCATGAATTGCAAGAAACCCAAATGATGGTGGAA